AAAAGAAAAATATAAGAATGAATGAAAGAGTCTTTAGGACATATCCCACAACATGAGCTAAAAGAGAATCTAACGAGAGCATCAGGTAAATAAGCTGCTGAGTAAAGAGGGTGGTTTTTCCTGCTCTTCGATTTATACAATGGTAAAAGAACTTCCCTATAGGCAAGATGTGCTGCTGGACGTCGTGCAGAGTATAGTGAAGAGCAGACCAAGTGCTACAGAGGTGAAAGGAAAGGCATGGTAATTGAAGTTAAACGAGATAGCTCACTATTCACCAGGACTACATTCTGACAATGAAGCTCCTTCGCTTGTTGAATGTATGCCTTAGGCGACAGACAATGGCTCTGCTGGAGTCATTACTGGTGCAACTTTGTAAGATATTTATAAATATATGTGGATATTCTTTCTGTAGTGCACATTATCCAGTTGAAAAAAAAAACAACACTCAAGTGAACTCTTCAGAGCTTCACAATTGTCTTGTGCTAATTATTTGTTAAAGGTTATGAACTTCAGTCTAATTCCATCTTTTGTTTGTAGAATCATTTTTATTATAAAATGGAGCAGGTTTTCTACAATTTTGATCTGTAGATATTGAAATTATTCAATTATTTCTTTTTTTCAGAATATTTATAGTAACTTTAATTTATTTAAATCCATGTAAAGTCGAAGAGAGAAGTAGACTCAAAACAAGCCACTGGGTTTTCAATTACTCTTTAAAAATAAATCATTCACTATTTGGAGTAATAATAACACTAATTTAATCCTAACTTGCATCTCAATATTATTAAAAACGGTTCTAAAAAATAAAAAAATAAAACATCTATTCATTTATTGAATTTTGATTTCTTTAATTATTTTTTCAATAAATAATAATTTTATCGAATAATAATAATTAAGTAATAATGATAATGTGGAAAATTGTTTCTGATTTTTTTTTGTAATATGAGAGTTCATTAAAATGAAAAAAAAATTTATTAATCAATTGACGGTGTAAAAAGTTAATAATTAAGTCTTTAATCCAATAATAGTTGTTACTAATATAAACATTGATCGATTTTTCGAATGAATGAATTAAAAAACAAGAAAGAATGAAGAATGTAATTAAAATGAGACTTTTAGGGATAAAATAAATAAATAGGACTTCATTGATATGTGTCTTTTATTAAAAGCCGTGGGATACCAAATAATGTCGTGAGATAAATATATACGTGAAGGTCTCTTTTTCGAATAATGTCAGTGCTCGGGATTCAGTTCGTTAGGTGTCTGCTCCGACTATGGATTGAATAAGTAGCTTCGATGTATATTCAACGAGTAGGCGTGTTTTCCACCTCTCGCGTTTGCAAGTCATCTCTTCGCACCTCGCTCACTCTTGTATTCACCGATTATCGTATCCTCTGGCACTCTGAAAGTGCCGTCGTACGAAAGGTCCCAAAGGGAGAGTTAGTTCCCCGGCGTGCAAGAGTAGTCGTACATGCCACAAGGGACTCCATGTCTTCGTTATCTCACCTCGTGGGGTCTGATCGGCTTGTCTGTAGATTTATATTACGTATATACACATATAAATATATATACCTTTCAGCTTCATTTAAAACTAAAAAAAAAGGCCTCATGATTACCTACAATGCAATCTACCCACTACCTTGCATATTGCCTCCTTTTAATTTTTAACTTGATTTCGTTATGAGTTAAGAATTAATGAGCTACGAAAAAAATTAATTCTTAAATTCTCTTTATTTAGCAATTATTTATTCATTTATTTATTATTTAATTATCTTTATTTTTTATTTAATAAACACTACACTGAAAAAAAATTGACAGTAAACAAATATCTCTTTAAATTAATAAAATAAAAGTTTTAAATAATTATAAAATGATGCTAAAAATTTTAGAGAATTAATCCAATATTATTTGTATTTAAGCTCATTATATTTTGAATCGAATATCAAAATATATTTCGTTAAATTCACTAAAATATTTTATTGCAAATATTTCCGATTCTTTTTATTCATTAAATTAATATTTTTTTGCACAGCAAAAATTTTTTCCCCAGTGTACATGAACTCTTCATTACAATATTAATTAAAATCTTTAATGAACAAATTACATCAATCATTAAAATGTTAATTATCAAATTACCATTTAAGGGTTAATAATTTTTTTATTGACTGTAAAAAAAAGAAACTTTTTTTCCCTAGAAATAATTAATCTTCTTTTTTTTTAGGTGGTCCGAGGTTCAATAAATTTAGTAATAATCGTTAAAAATAGTGGAATTTCAACCGATAGCATGTTTTCAGTTCGTTCCATCTGAATGGCTCATTTCAAGAACACGAGTTCACCAGTTTTAAGGACCAGAAAACAGTAGTTTCTACAGCTCGTGACGATTTACACGATATCTTAGGACATCTCCTGGTCGTCTAGTAGTTCATTTGTTCCACCGCATCGATAATGATCAAAATGGGAACTCGGTTGATCTTGAAGCAGCAGAGAAACAACTTTCAAGATCATCGGTTAATGAAGATGTAGTTTAGTCGGTTCATTAAGGGAAGAATTTAAATAACTTTTTACGATAAAACCACATTGATTATTTTTTTTAATTGTTTTAATTATTTAGCCAATTTATGTATTACCATTAACAGTTCTAAATCAGATTATTCCTACCACTATGAGAAGATCATCATGGAATCAATGAAAATAATATTATGAAAGCTATAAAAATTCATTTGCATTCACTTATTAATTATTAAGACTTCAAAGAAATACTTCGAAAGAAAATAAATTTAAAAATAAACTAAAGCTGAGAACAGGAAGAGAAATGTGGATCTGATTCATTGACTTTTTATTTCCTTAATGTCTTTTGCTGGATCAATTCAAGCAGGTATATGTTAATACTCAATCTGATTTCAAAATAAAAGTCAGACCAAAATGTATTGACATATAAAACACTATGCAGAACTGAGCAAAAAAATATATCAACCAATGATGCTTGCATAAAATACATGGACCACCCGCGAGTTGGTACGCGAGGTTAACGACAATTCAGAGTGAGAATAAGTCAAGGTAGTTGAATGGCATTGACACATCAACAAGATGATGCTAAATCTCTATAGGAAGCAATAGTTGACTTTTATTCATTTCTAAAATGCACCAATAACCTCCTATTGATCTACATCTTTTCAGCTCGCGGAAAAGTCCAAATTTTGTTGAAAAGTATCTTTCAATTTCCGGTCTATTCATGTCATTCTACTTGATGATCAACACCAAACTATTTAGATCTATTTAAAAAATACTCTGATTTATTCTATTCAATTGCAACTATTCAGAATTTTTCAATAAAATGTTTAACATCATGAGTCTTTTTGGTTAAATTTATTGAGAACAAATGAAGTAATGTTGATGTATCATCATGATATCAAATTTTATCCAATGATTCATCAATAAATGAAGTTTATAAAATAGTGTATAAAACTTCAATGATACAGACCAAGTGCTGTAAATGTATTAGGAATAAATCCTGACCTTGAGAATGCATCTCATTATCCAACTCGCGAGCTAATTATCACTACACTTAACCAGATGTGGTTCATTCATGATGAACAAAATGTTCTTTAGACCGGAAGAATATTAACAAGAGAGAATTTGACCAAAATAAAAAGAGGCAAAAAAAAATAAAAACTTGCTTCTACTAATTACCTTGAATTTACTCAATATGACCAACAACTTTCTTTCCTTCGAATGAATCTTGATAGCCAAAAATTACAGCAACTTTATTCACTCGTTTTATTTTTATCTGGTGAATTTACGGGTGAGAAAAAGAAACCAAATGAGATGGAAATGTAAGAACCAGAGAAACGAAATAGAAGAGGAAACTTGAGTAGTTTGGATGCAGCGGAATACATTATAGACTTGTTTTAGCCCCCTATTACAACGTCGTTACTTGGTTCATCTCCCTCGTTTCTTCTCACTTTTGAGCTCATTATGTCCATAAGGTTGGAAGAGAAAAAAGAAACCTCGACTGATCATATGAACTTATGTTTTTCATTTGATCAGAAGAAATTATTTGCTAATATTCATGATGTAGTTGGATTATTTATAAGTTATTTATAATAATTGATAATTGTAATTATTTCTGTTGAAATTGTTAGATCAAATATACAAACCTCAATGAAAATATTACATTTTTTATATTCAACAACAAATCAACCTGAAATTTTTAACGAAAATATAAACAAAGATTTTGGTCAGTTAGGATGGTTTATTGACCATCATATACTCTAGGACATGGACCAAAATGAATTTTCGTGCCACCATAAATGAGAAAACTAATGTTAGTTAGTACCCGAAGTTTCAAAAAGGTGGCCATGCACATAAAATTTTCACAAGTTGCACATTTTAGCAAGTGGCTTTCAAGTACCTGACTTTATACACAACATGCATCCAACGTAAGTCAAGTGTATAAGCACAGACCAGCATAACTTATATTGTACGCCCTTTCCCTTTTCGCATAAATAAATTGCTGACTATCCCGACTTCACGGATATTTCAGTACTTCAGGGAGACCCTTAGGATAATTACTAAAAGTCTTATATTCCTTTTAAAATATATACTCTCTCTTGGTCGTTTTTTTTGCTTAAGCAACAATTTAATGGCAATGAATTTTTTTTTTTACCGACGAACTGTTTTCTTTTATTTATTTAATTTAATATTTAATGTAGATAATAAAAAATTTTTTCATTTAAAAACATACATCTTTTTCAAGTTATATATTAATAAATGAAACTTGTCAGGAAAGTGGGAGAGAATGTAATACATACACAATGTTTATAGTAAAGTTATAAAATATATTTAACGGATTTTCATTTGTCGATACAAAATGTAAGGCACTCATACATATAAAAATTTATCAAAGCCATTTTTAAGGACTTTGTTTTTCTTTAAATTATTTAAAATATTCATTCCTAATGATATTAATCAATAATTCGATGAACTTTCAAGAGCACTTTTATAAATACCTTCGGTATATATTTTTATATAATTATTATGCATTATTGCGCTTATTATACTATTAATTTTTTCAATCTATGTTTTTATCTTACTTGAAAATTTGTAAAATATCTTAAATGTAACATGTAATATACACTATTTACAGTCATCGTTTCATTATTAAGATATTTTTCCATTCTCATCAATTCATTTCTAAATGCTTCTCTTATAATTATTTTATTTACTAATTCTGCTATATAGTATGAGAAGGCTTTTTGATATTAATTTTAAAAATCTCCCAAATGAAGAAATTGAAGATGAATTTCCTCTTATTTGTATGAAATTCCCTTTCGAAGAGTTGTACAGAGTATTTGACTAGATCACAGTATGCAGACGGAAACAGCCATCGTTCCTCAATCCACTTTGGCTTCTCACAATTTTTTAACGATAAGATTCACATCTGTAATCAAAGAAAAAAATTCAAAATTAACTCATCATGGATAAAAAAAAAATATTATTAAAATAAATTTGAAACGAATTCTGACCATGAAATTTGAAATATAATTTTTTTGGGGTATATTTTTGAAGTTTATATTAATCAAAGTATAGGTAAAAGTATATGAGGAGGAAGAAAAAAACGAAAAAAAGTAGAAGAAACAAGGGATGATTTCAGGTAAGGGAGTTTTCGACAAGGGTCCATATACTTGGGAGTTTTTATAGGGTCTATATGACGATGAGGACGTATAGGTATGTATAGGAAAGGACAGAAAGAATAGCGTACCGGTTCAAAAACCGACAAAGGAAGGAGGGAACGACCGGTAAATCCTGAAAGACGCATTCATGTTAAACGTACCGCGTGAGACGAAATTGTCCTCGCTACATTAAAAAAAAGCGGGAGGAGGAGGATAAATTTTCGACTGAAATCGAGAAAATTATATGAAAAAATTGATCAACAATTTTATGAATTCATCCATACGAATATTTCATTGATATGCTAATATTTAAGCTGATGATTTATAGAAATAAAGTGAATTATTTAGTATGATTATTTCCAGGTTTCTGAAAATCTTGATGGATATTAATTTATATTCAATTATTTACAAAAGTCAGTCGAGGTATTAAAAATGGTGAGAGAGAGAGAGAAAAAATGTATGAAGGGAAGAAAGAAAAAGGAAATGAACGAAGGATGAAAAAGCGAATGAAAGAAATTGCAGACAAAGGTACTCTGCTTGTATATACTACTATATTGAATGGAGTCTAATATTTGAATGGCTCACAGGGATATTTTTCGATAAAGGGTCTCTTTCGCGAACCATTTTTAGATGCCAAGGTCATAAGTCTAGTCGAACAAAATTTTTTCATTGACTCGAGTGAACAATTAAGATTAAAAATGAAAAATAAAAAAGGAATATTTACCTTAAAATTGTGATAACCCAGATGTGGAAATGACTTGAATGCTCTCATTGTGTCTCTTGCCACCACGAGATAACATCCAATAGTTCTTCATCCTCAGGACTCACAGTTTCATAGTTATCATAGCCGTCTGAATGAGAAGCGTAAAGTGCGGTGGACGTGTAACCTTGACTTCCAGCCGATGACGTTTCGGACACGAAGCTTGGGGTCGGTGAGCTAGAGGCCTCTGAACATGGTGGTGGTACGAAGGACGACGGGCTGGGATTCTGTCTCATGTGATGTCGATGTAAGTCTGACCCATGTGGCGAATGAACTTCTGTAGAATGAAGTTCTATCCTGGATCCACACGTTGAAGAAGTTGGTGATGGTGATGTTGATGGTGCACTAACAACATCTGAACTATCACTGCCATCCAGCATGCGTTGTAGAGTTCTGATATATTCAACAGCCATTCTTAATGTTTCAACTTTGGATAATTTTTTGCTCCCTGCTCTAGATCCACCATGTGTTCCAGCTGTGTTGCTGCCAAGTGCTTGTGCTACACTTTGAGGTATATGTTGACGTAATGTGGCAAATCCATTGTTTACTTGCTTCACTCTATTTCTTTCACGAGCATTTCTTCTTGCCACTGAAGCAGGTTGATGTGGAACTGTTGCGTAAGGTGTTGTCTGATACATTTTAGTTCTCTTACATCCATGTGACATCTTCAAATCGTTATTCGTTAATCCACCAGTCGAAACAATAACATTACTTCGATGATTCTGTAGACCAATGTTGTTGTTATTTACACCATTGACATTATGAAGACCGTTGTGGTGATGATGTTGTTGTACGCCCAACATCATTGGTAGTGTATTTTCGTCGTTTGTTCCCACTAAGGTCATATCACACAAATCGATACACCGTAGATCGAATTTCACGAATTTTAATATCAAGACACGATCAATCCCCTTGACAATAAAAATAATATTGCCGTTAGTTTCAACTAATGACAATTTCAATCTTTTAAATCACGTTTAAACTTTACGAACAAAAGTAATCACTTGTATTGATGTCTTCAGTACCGTAAGCAAAAGCATAAACTGGTGATTGCACCCTTCGATACTTACGATACAGTTGCGGCTCCCGAAATGCTTTGGTGAGGAGGGTTCAGGGCCTTATATAAGTCAGACAGGCACGCGCCGTATCCCCTCCAATGGGTCTCATACTTGATCAGGCCCTAAACCCCTCACTCCCACCCTTCGACGCTACGCACCACAGTTGAAATTCTCCTTCCCACTTTGCTCTCACGAAGCCTCTGAACACCCCCCCTCTACCTTCATTTAAAAAGACCCAAAGGCCCTTACGAGAAAACGCCGAGATTCTCATCTCCATGAAATCAAGATCAATTCTTATTCTCCGTGGCTTTACTTTTTTTTCCTCAATCACTGATTTCAGAGAAAATCTGCAATCATGATTGTTGATGTCTTCTACTAACTACATGTGATTAGAATTCATCACAAGTTTGAATTCCAAAATATAACATCAAAAAAAATTCCTTTCAAAAATCAAATCATCAACATTATTTATTCTATTATTAAGACGCACATTTTTATAATAGTTCCTACCCGTATAAACAAATGAATATATCAAGATATCATCTAGAAATGAAGGTATTTGATATAAATTAAAAAAAAAAAACAATCACAGACATTGATTGAGGAAATAACAGGAGGGTAAAGAATAATTATTATTCAAGTGATAGACTGATAAAAAATGATATTAAAGACAATCTAAAAATTAGAATCATTCTCAGCAAGATTCACGAGACTGTATGGCATGAGTACAGAGCAACAAAATTTCAACAGTTATCGAGGGGGATAAAAATCAGGCCTTGGGCCCTGGTGAGTAGAGCGCCGGAATGGTGAAGGATCGTCAGCGGTGCCGCGAGCCAAAAAGAGTAAAGGACAGAAGAGAGACGACGAAAACGAGAGAGGGTGATACTTGGAGATGAGGGGAAGCTGGAAGACGCGAGCCGTTCTCCCTTCTCCAGTCTCATGGCGCGCGCCATACTAAAGCCACTATCCCCTACCTATATCCCGACCTCGGGGCGCATCGCGTGCGTTCGTGCGCACATCTTGAATATAGACTCTCAGCTCACGCGCTCATCCACTACTTCTTTTATACGTGCTTCGCAGCTGTAAATGTAAGCTTGTGAGAGCAGCAGCCGGACCAGGCGCACGCACAAATAAACATATGAGAACAGGTATGCCCTGTTCTCTTTTCTATCAAAAAACGTCTTCTCTTATTACATACGTTCTTGTCAACTATCGAAAATTTTTTTTCCTAATTTCTCTTTCTTTTTTATCATTATTATTACATGTTCTTCATGCACTTGGATTGCTATGGAGTTTTTCATCTAGATGATTTGGAGTTCATTTTTTGGAGCAGATATTTTAATTGGAACATAGTCAGAAGAATGTTGTGAGCCATCAGAAATGATTAAAAGGGTTGAAAAGTAAATTTATCTCTGGATTATTTTGACCATTATTATGAGTTCTAATAATTAAAAATAATTTTATTTTCAATAAATTTAATTATTAAACTTTATGATGTTAAGATAAATCAGATTGTTTTTTTTTTTTGTTTTTAGAAAAAGAAATATTGAATGTAAAAAGAAGACAAGTACAAAACGCAAAACATAACAATCGAGCATAGAATTCACTGATTGTTTGTTCGTTTTGAATTTTTTTTTCACATGCATTCTACACGTACACTATATATGGTAAGTAAAACATTGACAAAGAGATACCGTCTACTGGTACGGGTAATAAATTCGATAGCACTTTCTGAGACAAAAAAAAATACAAACGAACTTATAGTCAAAAGAATTGTTTCAATCGAGTTTTATTTTTATTTTTTGTCATTTGTTGGTATTATTCGTTTTCTTTTCATCCTACATTGCAGATACAACAATCAAAAGTTTCAGTAGATTGTACTGTCAAACAATCTAAGGCAAGTCACAACATTGTCTCAGCTGCGAAACGACATTGTCTTTAAATTTTATCACTTGTGATCAACATAACTCGATCCTCTTCCCCCGTCGTACGCTAATTGTTTAATGTTATTTCATGGTGACATTCTGATCAAGAAAGCTGAACAACCGAAAAAATAAAATAAAAAGAATTCGAAAGAATGTGTACATCCTCTACAGACCTTAATACAAAATAATAACAACACTTTTATTGTCATCTCAAATTTAATCATCATCATAAAATGTCAACAAGTCTTTTCTCACGATTTTCTGAAATACTAGAATATTTTTAAATGTTATTTCTAAAATAATTTCATTAAAATTCATGAATCAATTTATCGACATAATTTGCTAAAATATTCAATAAGCAGTGCGAGAAAAAAATTTTCAATAAAAAATTTCATTTAATTTATTACACCAATTATTTTAAGATTAATCGGTATTTGAGTAGAGATACAAATGACAGTAATTTTTGATCTTTATACTCCAATATAGACTCATTTACTTGAAAATAAATGTCGATATATATGTTGATGTGTCTTGTGATTTTTATTTCACTGAATAGATTTATTTTTTTTTTTATTTTTGATAGAGGAAAATAAAATGATAGATAGGTAAAGAAACAAGAAGAGATATAATACCTATACAATTCGCACACACTTGCCTGTGGCCACGCGTCGAAAACGCGCCGCATATATCGTATAGCATTCGATTCGTGATCACTAAGATTAGAATCTTAATAGGGTGGTTTTGCCAGTTGAACGTCGATCATTTCAACGAACAAGGGTTCCAATCGTCTTCGCAATCTCTCCTCTCAAGGAAGAATATTTTTGATGGATTTTATTTCATGTGAGATCCATATATCTTTAGACAAAACTTTGATATTTATTATCATTATCATTTTAATGATAATCAAATACCATTATCTCCTTGATTATCATTTATAAAACTATGAATATTAATTAATGAACTGTCATTTTGAAGACAGAAATGATATTGATGTTGAAGTTTTTATTGCATTCTCATGTAAATTATATTTTATCTGTATATTTAATTTTAATATTATTGACCTTGCATTATTTTTTTTTCAGATCTACTCAAACATTATATCAATTCAAGATACTATTAAGTGTCTCATGATATGCATTGCATGATAATTCCTGCTATTATCTCAGTGTGAGTTGTCTTTTATAGATACAACATAAAATTAGTCCGTGTTGCCGCGAGTGTGTTTTTCATTTTTTTAAAATGATTTTAATGATTATAATTAATCATACAAGTCAAACATTCTACAATTTTGAATTAAAAATCTTAAATTATGTTAGACATGTTTAAATGCAAATAATTTAAAATATATATTATTAAGTGTTATTATAATTAGATCTACACTGAGAAAAACATTTTTGCAATACAATATTTTATTTAATTCAACGGAATTGATTCTGATGTTTGGTTCAAGATTATGATAAATTAAAATACATTAAAATAAATTAATGAAAAAATACGCAGATAATTATATTAAAAATAATCAAGCACAATAAAACTGTATTATTTAAATAAACATTAAAATGTTACCATGTTGAATCCAAAAAAATATTTAACTATAACTATTCAAAATTTTGAGTTTATTATTTGAAAAAAATATTACTTATTCACAGTCAATTTTTTTTCAACAACTTCTTAGCAATAACCAAAAAATTCAAGAAGTAATGATTGGTGCTAATTGAACAAAGTAAAAAGTGATTTAGTTAAAAATAAAAATGATCCATAATCCTATCTTCTCTTCTAATAATTAATAATTTCAAGTTGGATCCAATATGAGTTGAATTGTTGAGGAAAAAATGTCGAACATTGAAAATTTTGCAAAAAATAATTAATCAAGTTGAATAAATGGATGGCTATGGCGAGCACTTAGAATAGGTGTACCTGTTACACTTTAGTTAAACAAGTCTACCCTAAAATATCGATTTCTACTTATGCTGGTTATATATAACGTCACCGACTAGCATCTGTCACAAGACACAGGTTATTTTACATATCACGCATGGGGCGCAAATGTCTATACACTGTTCAAAGTGTATAAGGGGAGTCAGAACGACGTAACAAGAGTATTCACATAGTTTGAATATTTTGAATCGGTAAGTTGAACAAATCCAGAGTCATGTGGATTATTGGGTAGCACAAAATAACATGTGCACCATATGTCACGTTTATTTTACACGATTTATTATTATGTGTATTAAAATGACTCAGTGAATAATGCAGAAAAAAAAACCGAAAAAACAAGTGGTTGTAAATTGAAACGATTTCTGTTAAAATGTACATAGTGGTATTATTACTGTGGGTTTTCTTGATTGATTAAAGATCGCAGCACGTTTCATTGTAAAAGGTAAATAAAATACTTACAAGTTAACTTACTGGACAAGTAATGAAATAAATAAAATAGAAATTCTCATGTTCATGCACGTTTGACCTTGTCAGTGTCTTTCTCTTCTTTTCGTCCGCACAACTTCCTCGAAGTTGACGGGGCGTCGATCCTCCTCAGATATGCAATCACGTCTTGATTAATCATTAATGCATTCCACTCCCGGACCTCACGATGTGTCTGCAATTTAACGGCTAATTTTTCCATGAATTTAACATATTCATAAATCTAATAGTCATCGTTATCACTGATTAAGGCATCTCGCACATTGTTCCATCATCGTGTGTATGATTAATAACACCAAGTATGACACACTAAAATGTCCCGGTCACTCTCAGTTTCACATCACAAATTTGGACACACTTAATGATTGCTTATTTTTTCAACACAATCACCTAAAGTCACTGAATCATTTTTCACAAGTGTGTGATACTAAAGGAAGGGTCCACCAGGGAATATATGACAGACAAATCATTCTGACTATTGTCAAATGATTCATTGTAAACGTAAGTTTCTGGGAAATCTTTTATTATAGTGACCAATGAATAGATGCATGAATGAACTTTAAAATATTTTTCAAGAATATCGATTTTTTGAAAGCTACATGTATTATACTCCGTTTTCTTTTTATTTACAAATTCTTCGTGGATATAAATAAAAATAATGAATCTTTCTTG